GCACAGTTAGGGTCTTAGTAAAATGTCTGTGAATCAGCTCAATGAGTATAGAGGATTGTAGATCTCCAAAGACCTTGGGATTCAGAAAGGATATAATAAACCTCTTAGCAAAATGTCCTCTTCTTCTTCTTGCAAAAATAACAAAGAAATCATACCCACTGGGCTGAAGTCAAAGACTTTCCATGATAAGACAGCTTTGTCTTATTTTCCAACATTGCTCCTTGGATTTAATGTGCACATGAATCACCAATGTTTAATAAGGTCACCTTCCTCACAGGGAATGTGCCAATAAAACCCAAGTATAATTATCTGTAAACCTCTTCAAACTGTATTTTTGGTTTAAGAATCTCATGGCGGCCCTCCTCTGCAGAATTCATTTAATTCTTTAATTTCAATTTGCATACAAATGTCCTATGGGGGTAAGCCTCCTACTCATTAGCCTTTGTCTTTGGCTGAAGCTACGAACTTCAAAAGAACACCAATAAAAACACAACAAGTGGTCTCAATCTCAAAACTCTCACAGTTTGTGTGAAAGTCTGAGTCTGGCTTGGCTTAGATTCCTGCTGAACTGATTTACTATCCTTTGAGAATTCCTTAACTAAAGAAAGTAGAACTCTAAGGTATTCCTTTAAGTTGCACGAGTCCTTGAAGAAAACGTATTGAAAAGAGAGAATTCCGAAGCGCCCCCCACCCCCAAACACACTTAAGTCTTAAAACAGTGGGTATTCAATAAAGAGTTTCTCCATTCTTTTTCTTTTCGATTTTATAAATTTTTTTTGGTAGATTCCAGTGTGAACCTTTTTCTGAATCTCTTTTCCTAACCAATTATATTAAAAAGAAAAGACCTTTTTGGGTAGCACACTGCCCTTCTTGGGCAGCTGGGTTGTTGGGTATTGACAAACCCCATGGTAGAGTACATACCTGCTGGGTCATGCAATAAATAGCAGGAATGGTGGTGGTTGGGAGGGGCAGGCTGGGCTTGACTTCAGTATCCAATTGTACACTAAACCTCAGCAGATCGTGTTTAGAAGAGAAAATTGGAAGCTTTCTTTAGGGAAGGGGGTGCCCATTCATCATGGCACCCCAGGTTATCACAGGCTCAGGACAGAGTGTTCTTCATAAAGCAGTTATGCCCATAAGGCAATGCTGATTATTGTGGAAAGAATGACACTGTGTTCATTATGTGATGGCCATTGTGCTTCATGTGAATAAATGAGTTTTACTCTCTATATTGTAACCCTATAGTATAGAAATACTTGTAATCTGTGCTATAGCCAAGGAGGCAGAGGTTTAAGTCATCTGTAGTTACTCAGCACATGTGGAATTGTTGGAATGTAAGGGCACAGTTCATGTGCACATAATGAAGTGAGAAATACAAACCTCAGAGAAAGACTTTAGAAATAATGATATAATAAACTTTATGGCTAAAAGTGTGTGTGTGTGTGTGTGTGTGTGTGTGTGTGTGTGTGTCAGAGAGAGAGAGAGAGAGAGAGGAAAAAGGAGACACACACACAGATGCTTTCAAAAAGTCTCCTTTTAAAATTAAAATTAAGTAATTGAGGGCTGCTGAGATGTTAACAGGTAAAAACTTCTGCCAAGGAAAGACGAATGGCCCAAGTTTGCTCATCAGGACCACCATGGAACAATAGAACTGACTCCTGCAAATTGTTTTCTGATCTCCCCATTGGAGACATGGCATTACACTCCTCCCTGTACCCAATAAAACCAAATGTAATAAAATAGAAATTAAATAATCGAATAACAGAATTATCTCTTTATACTACTAGTCTGACATATTTCACAGTAATATGAATATTCATATCTCAACAAAGATCTCCAATGTGCAGTTGGAAGAAGTAAGCCCAAGGTATCTGCTATCTTTTAGATTAGGCTGGTGTGGACAGAAAAAAGTGCAAGCCGAAACAACCTCCTGCGGAAATATTTGCAGCACAGAGAAACAAAAAATAGTAAAACCTGCAGTCTACAAAGGGCTCCTGCAATTGAGAATTCCAAACAAAGTACTCCAAAGAAAACTATCCTAAAAACACAAAAGATAATTCTCAGAAAAAAGTCATAATGTTACAAAAAGAACTTTGTACTGAGTAATAAATGAGTAAAGTACCTCATTTGACATGTGTTGTTTTAAGAAAATAACTATGTTAAAATGCACTTTATTCTTTGACTTAAAAATGCTCTTAGAATCAACCCCATTTACAGAATGATGACAACTCACATAATTCTTTGTCATACTTAAAGCCAGAAGTATCCAATAAGTTGTGTGTAAAATATATGTTAGTTGAGAAAAAAAACAAAATCTAGGTTCATATTTACAAACTGATTCAACCGTTTTATATTTTCCTATTCATACATGTGGATAATGTATTTTAGTCAAGTCTACCTTGGAATCCTTCCCTTCTAGTTCTTTCCTGATCCCCCAGCTACTTTCCCTTCCAACTTCATGTGCTTGCTTTTCCAACCCATTGAACTGACTTGATGCCATCTGCACGTGCTTGGGTCTAGGACGGCCTCCTGGAGCCTGGGGAGCCTTTCTGGGACCGCATCCTTGTAAACAGACTGTTCCTACCCAGCAATCATCAACTGCAAGCAACCCCTCAGCATGGGATGGGACTTCATGAGCCCCTCCCTCATCCATGTCAGGATTTCGGGTTGGCTTGATATTGCGTAGGTCTTGTGCATGCAGTCACAGCTGCTGGGAGTTCATGTGTACAAAGACCCCGCCGTGCCCAGCAAAGGTCTCCCTGCAGGTGTTTCTACTTTCCATCCTCTCTTCCTCACTGATCCCAGAGCCTTGAGAGGAAGGGGCATGACATAGATGTCCCATTGAGAGATGAGCATGCCATAACTCTTACTCTCTGCATACTGGCCAATTGTAGGTCTCTGTATTAATTACCATCTAGTAGGGAAAGAAAGCTTCTCTGGTGAGGGTTGAAAGATGCCCTCATTTAAGTGGGGATACGGATAGCCAGAGGACAAGTTAGTGCATCGGAAGGGGAAGGATGTGAAGAACAAGTACAAGGCTCTCAGAATGGAGGAAAGAATGAAACAAACTAGAATGTGTGTGGGTACGTGTGTGTGTGTATGTGAGTGTGTGTGGTTTTATTTTTTTTTTAAGTTTTGGTGATGTTGGGATTTCATGAATGAAATTACTTCCAAAAAAGGAGAAATCCTCTTCCTTAAAAATTAATTATAAAGCTATAAAAGTCTTGGGTCATGTGTATGTGTGTGTTTTACTATGACTGAACCTAGGCCTTGCTTGTACCTGCTAGGCAAGCACCATACCACTGAGCTATATGCCCAACCCTTCTTGTATTTTATGTCTGAGACAAGGTCTCACTAAGTTTCCTAAGCTGGCCCTCAGTCATACTGCAGGACAAGCAGGCCTTGAACTAGTGATTCTCCCATCTCAGTTTCCTTCGTATTTAGGACTACAGGCATGTACTACCAGGTGTGGAAAAAAAAAGAAATCTTAGATTGTCTATGAATTTATTCATGAACTTATATAATGATATTGAAAATATGTGGCAGTGCCTTTAAGATTCCCCCCACTGTAGCAAAGTGTACAAGTGTAAAATCTTTTATATACGGGCAAGCAAGAAAGAAAAAAAACACTCAAAACCCATTCCTTACAGTGAAACAAACAAGCTGTGCCTTACTATATAATGGCTTTTGCAAGCTGGTTTTTTTTCTGCTTATTTCTAACCTATATAAAATTTTGAGTACCATGAGCAACACAATGGCAATATTAATTTATCTAGAGGTAGTAATAAACTATTCTCTTTTGTTCCCTGTCTCTGTCTCTCTTTCTCTCTCACTCTTTTACACACACACACACACACACACACACACACACACACACAGAGTTTTTCTTTGAATTTTTTCCCCCCAAGACAAGGTTTCTTTGTGTAGCTCTGACTGTCCTGGAACTGGCTCTGTAGACCAGGCTGGTCTCTAACGCACAGAGATCTACCTGCCTCTGCCTCCTGAGTGCTGGGATTAAAGGTATGCACCACCACCACTGCCAGGTAACACATAGTATAATAGTGTTAACATGTGCTCAAATCAAAACAGAAATATTTACATAATTATACAAATAATAGCCTTAAAGAGAGAGCAGTCCAAATGCACATTCACTGATACAAGGATGACTAAGGTTTAGCCTATCCGCAGAGTGGAATATTATTTGGAAAAAAGGGAAAAGTAAAGTACTGGCTCATGGCATTGTGGCAAGTGAAAGAAACCAGCCACAATACGTCATCAATCATGCGACTGTATTTACATGACATTACAGAGGGGCCAAGTGTTTAGAGATGGATGGTAAGTTAGTAGTTAGTAGGGTTGTGGAAAAGGCTAAAAGAGTGAGATGGTGAATGACTTTTTTTTCATAAAGATTTATCTTTTATTTTTACTTTTATGTGTATGAATGTTTGCCCTATGTGTAGTGGTGCCAGCAGAGGCCAGAAGGTGGTGCTGGATCCTCTGGAGCTGGAGTTACAGGTGGTTGTGAGCTGCTCAGTGTGGGTGCTAGCAATCAAACTCTGGTCCTCTGTAAGATCAGAAAGTGCCCCGACCCCTGAGCCTCCTCTCTAGCCTTGGTAAGTGACTCCTAATGAGTACAAAGTTTTCACATCGGTTATAGTGATTACTGCGTAATTATTCTCAGAACCAAGGAACCACAGTTTTAGTGGGTCCCCTTTGGTGGTTATGTTTATCACAGCCCAGTAAGGCTGTCTTTGGTCTCATGTGGTCTTCACTACAGCAGCCGTGACTATACACAAGAGGAGCTCTAGACAATTCACCTTCCCCTTTCAGGTCCTAATTCTTTCTGCATCTCCAGGTTCCCTGAGCTCCACCCCTGGAAGAAACTTGGTTGATGGTCACTCTTCATAAAGAATTCCCCTCACCACATCTTTCCAATGTGTTTTTAAACCTATTCGACAGAAGCCCACAAACTAGAAGACAATGGAAACATAAGTACGCACCTTCAATGATGTGCTTTCTTGACAATCCTCTCTCTGTCTCAGCTCTACAACAGAAAAGAGGTAGATGGCTTTGGCTGGGGAATGCTGTTTTATTTTCTAAAAAAACCCTTTTTCAAAATGCAGAATAATGGCCATTCTTAACTTTCTTTTTATTTACTCTTTGTGTCTTCCACATTATGCCTCCCCATCCCACCCATCTCTCCCACCCAAAAAAGTAAATAAATAAATCTAAGAGAAGAAAGGGGGGGCGGGGGGAGGAAGAAAGAGAAAATCTCATCATGGAAGCTGCAATGTGACACATTAAACACGTTAAACCCCTTTATCCAGACATTTTTACATATGCAGGCATTTGTTGTAAAGAATCATTGCTCAGGTTCAAAGCCCCTGGACTCTGCTACCCCCATTGACCTTGCCCCCTGTGGTGGGTGAGAGAGCTGACCTCTCCTCTCACCAGCTGCAGCACTTGGGAAAGTGGACCCTGCACCTAGCCTGGGCAGCACAGGAGAGCTGATCCTATTGGCTGAGGTGTGAGTGAGCCAGTTCCGATGGATGGGCGAGCTGCCCCCATTATTCATCTGTTACGTGGCGTCATGGGTGGGGGAGATGTTCCTCTATCCCTGTCAATACCCGAGGAAGGTGAAAGAACAGGCCCTGACGTCATTAAGAGCAGGAGCTGTACCTCATCAGCTGCGACGCTCGGCAGAGTGGCCCCTACACCTCGCCTGGGCAACCCAGTACAGCTGGCCCTGAAGGTGTAGGTGTGGGAGAAACCACCCAGAGGACCTGAAAGCCGGCGAACTGACCCCATCAGTGCATGGCCAGGACAATGCTGGAGAGCGCACCCTGGTGGTGAAGCAGAGGAGAGCTGGCGGGTGACCAAGCCGGCAACTAACCAGACCCATTTGCTGGCCCACCCCAACATCCACCCTGCAGCACAAGGTAGGGGTATTAAAGACTGAGGGGGTGTCAGTCTTGCTGACTCAGGGCTGCAGGATCTCCACAACACAGGGCAGCAATGGGATGTCCAGGAAAGGTCCCAGGGAGGGCCCATAACCATTCTTTCTTGTGTAGCCCAGGGTGGCTTTGAACTCACAGAGATATGTCTTTTTCTGTCTCCCGAGTGCTGGGATTAAAAGTGTGTGCTGCCACTTCCTGGCCTCTATGGCTAAGTAGGGTGACTAGCTCTGCACTCTGATCTTCAGGCAAACTTCATTTGTTACAGCACAAATAAAGTATCACCACATCTCATCTCATTAAATAAATAAACAAACAAGCAAACAAACAAACAAATAAATAAATAGTGTTTAACTTACTTTCCACCCCAGTAGAGTTTGGTTGTGATGACCAAGCTGGACCTCCTGCGCATCAAACAGACACAAAGAAAGAGTAGATCATTGTGTGTTCTTGATGACCTGAATCATTATGACAGTGCCGGGAGGAATTGGTGACAGTACCTCACTACAGAAAGAAGGTGGAGACGGAGTTCTGAACCCACAGCCCGGAAATGTAAGAACAAGGGAAGCTGGTGAGTGGTAACTTGAAGCCAGACCCTTGAAGGGACTGAAGGGAAGCAATCTTTGCTGGAGACCCTGGGAGAAGGAGGTCTGCCCAGCATGCCCCTGTGTGGTGCTGCAATGTGTGCTTTTGACAGCTTTTGGCTGAGGTGATCTTGGAGGTCAGAGATGGCTCCTGAGAATGAAGGTGACCTACAGGAGGAGCTGTCTTGGTAGCTCAGAGGAGCGGCCACTAATTAACACTTATTTAGAATCTGGCATGATGTTGATAGCCTGTGAACCTTTCCTGGGAGGAGCCTCCTCTCTGCCAAGGAGCATGGGCGGAGCATGGGCGCGAGCGTCTCCTAGTTACTATCTTATCCAGTCAGTACCCTCGCGGGCAATGGGAAGTGACTGACTGCGTAGAAACAGGAGCCTTGAACTAAAGCCTCGTAGACTGTAGATGCTTGAAATCCTTTATCAAATGTCCTTCCGCTTTGCCGCAGAGGGATGAAACATGGACATCACGTCGGCAAACTGGTTCCCTACTCGAAAGCCCCACTCAAGGGCAACACGCGCTCTAGTGTTAGGATCACGCGAATCCTTGTGCTAGGAACCACATGAATATAATTTAAACTTGGGAGGCAGCGAGAGCTCGGTGCACGTTGGTTTAAAATAAAATCTTTTGAGGTCCAGAGATTAAGACCCAGCTTTGGGATTATTTGAAACACAAGGCATTTATAATTCAGTCACGTTATCATTCTGTTGATACCTTTAAACTCTTGGGCATACAAAGCCTCCGTGATAAATGGTGACCAGTGGGGAGTGATGGGGACAATTCTGACAGCTTGGTGGCAAAATGAAAAATTTGTTGAAAACATCGACCTCTCCATCCCACTAGGGTAATTTCCTGGAAAGCAATTTGAGTTACAGGAATGGAAGGTCTGCAGACATATCGTCCTGGGGGTTGCATACTGCTAACGGGTTACATCGTTTTCTCATTAACACATCAGCCTTTCACAACCGATGGTAACGACAGTCTGCACAGGGGAGCCAGGTCTCCTTCAGCAAACACTTTCTATCTTCAAAGAAAAAAAAAAGAGGTTGTTTGAAATATTATTAAAAAGTAAACATAAGCCCTTTTGATTAGTCAGAGCAAATATCTTGCTAAAGCTGCCCATTCTATCCAAACACTGAAGTTAGACTCCACAAAACTGTCCGCCCCACACCGGCGTTTAGTCTCAAGTGGCAAGATTAGATCAAAGCCTGACAAAGGATCGCTGAGCCCAGGAGGCTCTCGGAGTAACTGTTCCGGGTGGTGGAGGAAGATGGCGCAGTCCCCCGAGGATTTGCTCGCCTCTCGCGCCTCTTGCCCCTTCAGCTGTAAAATTTTCAGGTGTAAAATGCACATTTTCAGGTGTAAAATGCACCTCCGTAGCCATTTTACAGCGGGGAAATCAAGGCCCAGAGACGTGACATCACTTTCGCCGGGCAATGCTGCTGGGGAGTGGCAGCCGAAGGACAAGCAGCCAAGCCAGCGAGTTGAACAGATTGGACAGGCTCCACTCTAGGACGGCAAGGTTGATCCTCTCTCCGGTCTCCTCCCGGGGGCAAATGTGAACCGTATAAACTTTTCATAGCATAGGACCAGCTGGAGTTGTTATCGGCAAGGCTGGAAGGTGGCTTGTGGAATATTCATACGCATCTATTTTCCACAAGGTGTGTACCATAGGTTCTACAAGTAAGGAGGATGGATCAGTGCTCGCTGAGGGAAAACCACTGCCTGTCCTTCCGCACACACAGGGCAGTCTTTATTTTGTTGTTGGTCTTTCTTTACTGTGTTGCATGACCACCCCCACCCCAAACATCATGTCACCCCCATTGCCACTTGCTTTGTGTACAGTTGGTGGGAGGGATGGGGGAACACACTCCTTGAATTTCTTGGAGCCCCCAAAACAGCAGACACTCCTCTGAATACTCAGAAAATAGAGCTCCAAGCACCCAGGACAGATGCTGGCAACTGTACCCGGATGAGACAGCTTTCAGCAATTATCCTAAGGGCTTTTGGTTTCATCATTTCTTTGTGCAGAGAGTTATTAACAAAATGAGAGGTGAACATAAATCTGCGTGTCTAGATGGTTTCCTGTGGCTTACTTTCTTCACTAATCACAAGTGCTGTCAGAGCTATGAAAACACCACTCTCTGTGATGCCCAAATACCTCATAAACGGCTCTTTCTCTGCCCGACCCTGTCGTCACTGGAGTCGGTGGCTAAGGAATTTCTGACAAACAAGTAAGGGACTCTCCGGCATCTATTTCCCAAACACTAGAGATTGTTTCTTTCCCAAGTGTTGGTTTCTTTTTGGGACAGCCTTTTCTGCTAGTGCCATATGATTTGTTTGTTTGTTTGTTTTTCTGGGGCAAACTAGTGAGTCTTTAAACAGGCCAACAAACAGTTATGGTAGACACGGTTACCTCCAGCCTTTCTTCTTGATGATGTTCCCCAGGATCACCTCAGCCCTGAAGGAGGAGAAGACAATGTCTCAGAAGGCAGCGTCTCAGAAAAGCAAGAGTCAACCCAGCGCTACAGCCATCCCATTTTTGAACTCTCAGAGCCTACAGAACCCCAAAATAGAAGCTCTCTCAGCTGGTAGCACGGTCTCCACTGTTTCTGCTTGTGCCGGCAGAATCCGGCTCCCAGGCATTCCAGAAGCCTTTGCCAAATGCTGGCGCTGGCAAGAGACCGCCTGTGGTCGTGACATAAGAAACAGAGGAGTCATCTGGCAGCTTGGTCCCACATAAAAATATCCTACTCTGTGGCGTTCAACGAGAGGCAAGGTTTCTTCATCTAATTGCGGTGGAACAATTTAGTTGTGCTCAGAGGACAAGAGACCTCAGACTGTTTAGACAGAAAATATTGACCCCCAGGTGATCTTGGAAGGAAAAAAAAAGAATCTACATGTGCATTCAAATGTCCCCAAGTCCAGCAGTTACGGTGATCCATATTGAAAATGTCTTAGGATTGAGTAATGTTTGCCATAGGACTAAGATACAAGGAGACACTACAATACCTTTCCTGTCACCAAGACTGGGCTGTGGAAAGGTCTACTGAAGACATAGTATTATTCTCTCCCCCTTCCACTTCCTCAGGCAGATTCATTAGGGTTTAGGAAACTAAAATACTCTCCTATATCCCTCCCAGTAAGATCCTCAGCGTGAGAAGCAGTGGGGCTGCCAGAGATCGGAGGGGGGAGGTTAATGCAGTTAGCACTTGGATCATCAGTGAGCTAGATACTAGCCATTGCTAACTATTCTTTTATGGAAACAAATGTTGTTTTTGTACAGCCTCCAAGACATCATGATGCAGGCTAGCTGTGCAGCCTGCTCCAAACGGACAGAGATTGGATGGTACTGGAATCTTTTCTGTTTCTTCTTGTTTGGCTCTTGTTTCGTGTAACCTTACACAGAGAGACTCTATCTCAATTCCACAGTTCAATAATGATTCAGGTGACTATCCCTCATAATTGGAGTTACAGTCAGGTCTCTAGTAGGCTCACTATATTTCCTTGCTCTGTGTTAGCCTGTTTGGTGCTGTACAAGATTCAGAGAAGAAATCCCCTGACAATAGGGGATACAGAAAGGAGCAAAGTCTTACAACGTCTCTCTTTTCTTGGACTAATAATCAACAGGTTCTCTGATGCTGCTTAAGCACATACAGAGTCCTAAAAAAAGAGGAAACAAAGTAAGAAAAATGTTCTTCAATCATCTGGTGTTGATGGGGCAAACCTCAACTCAACTGTCTGTCGCTTGCTTGAGGGAGGGGCAGCGGGCCTGCAAGAGCAGTACTCCGCAGTTCCCCCGCGAGACCAGCAGGGATGTCTGCTTCCTTTACTGATGGAAGCTGGATATCCACATTTATTCCAGGAGACCAGGGCTCCATCCCTATTCTAAAGCACAATAGTTATGTTGTGTGGCATGTGCTTGGTGACCTGGCCTGACGGAGAATCAGCTCCGTGTTTTGCTTTGGCTAGCCATGTTGAGAGTGCCGACTCAACGCTGGGGTCCAGACACTGGAAGTCACTCCTCGACAGAAGTGAAAACACTCTGTCACCTGCTGTCTTCAGAGGAGGCTCTGAAGCGTCCTCTTGCAAAAGCTGTCGATCCCTTGGCATCATTTGGGAATCACAACTTGCATGAAAATCAGCCCAGGGACAGGTGGTCAAATAATTAGTTAACCCCTCTCCATCTCCACCGTCGTTTCTCTGGCAAGTTTTTCTCGTGTTTGCCTCCCTTCAGCGCATTTTTCTTACTGGAATGACATGGGTAGACCAAGAGGGTCCCAGAGTTCAACATTCCCGATTCTACTGATGGACTGAGGAAGAGCGTGCCTGCTGAGACACGCCCAAGAGAAGCAGCCCCTCCTCCCCAATGCCACAGCAATGTCTGGGCACACCCTCTTGGTTCCAGGGACGCCCGGTGAGGAACGGTTACTGGTTCTGACTTACTTCCCAGCGGCGTAGACCTCGGCAGTGTCGAAGAGATTAACTCCACTTTCGTAGGCAATTGTCATCAACCGTTCAGCAACCTGCCAGAGTGCAAAGGTCAGTCAGAAATGCCGAAAATGCCTTCCTAGCTGGGAAGTGGTTTTAAATACTTTATCTGCCTTTCACTCTGAGGTCTCATTACCATTCCTCATTTTCCTCAGTTGTAGTGACTGACAGAAGAAAGAAGAGCCGAGCACAGGGCATGTGATCCTTCTACCCTCCAAATAGGCTGTAATCCCTCTTCTGTGTGTGTGTGTGTGTGTGTGTGTGTGTGTGTGTGTGTGTGTTTGTGCGCATGCGCATGTCTATGTGGCGGGACAGTGAGGGGTGGGGAAGCATTATTGGTCATCCTCCAGCTGAGGTGTTCAGATCTGTGTTTCCCTCCCTGCTGGGAAAACCTTGTTTGATAACACCCTCTGTGACACGTAATCTTGCTGACAAAGAGGGCCATTTGTATCAACGCCGACTCCATCTCTCCACTCCTTTCTGCAAGCCTATAGTTTCTGGCAGTTGCGTGATTCCTGACCTAAAAGCTTGTGACTTTCCTCAAGGCCTAGCCAACTGTGCTGATGAGTCACGGGTTCGACAACCATGACTATTGTGACGCTCCTGGCACCCGCAGTTCGGTGGAACAGTGAGCGTCATCTTGGAGCCGCTGCTGAGTCAACACAGGGGAGGGAGCAAGACCCTGTCTCACTGGGGGACAGTTCCTACTGCTTAGGTTGCCGCAGAACAGAGCTCCAGGATCCATGGGGCTGCTCAGAGAAAGCGAGGAGTGGGAGTGGGGGCAGGATTAGACAGTTATTGGGTTATCTGCTGCAACCCGTGGAAGGTGAGGCTGTCTTAGCATACCATGGAACAGTACTAAAGGAGTCTCTCTTCACGTTGCTGGTTTATTTATGAGACGTTTGAACAGTTTCCCCACTTCACAAATAATTACAGTGGCTTTTCCAGTACGTTCTTTGATGGTGGACTAGGGTTGCTTCATCAGCATTTCTATGACAAGACTGTGTTTCTGGTGTTTTGAAAATTAGCCTCCCAAGACCAGGGCTAGGCTGGGCACAACCTTTGCATTACCTGCAAGAAAGCACTTGTGGCCTTTAACCTGCTACTGTAAAAACATCATCCTTGAGCAGAGCTGAAAAGTAGAGCAAATATAGTTTCCTCCTTCTGAATGTCCTGTGTTTTAGAAGTTACTGTGCGTGCAGTAAAACTTATTATGGTATGTTACACGGCATATTGTTGGATTATTATTGGGACAGATAACAATTATGTCTTATCTCCAGAGAAGGTTTGAGATGGAGAATTCTAGACACTTGGAGTGATTGAGAGTAGGAACACTTCCAAATAACAGGATCTGAAGACCTCATGAGGAATAATGGGGAAGACATTGAATTAAGTCTGAAGACCGGCTTTAGGCCTTGATAGAGTTTTTGATCTGAAACGTCTTACGAAAGCCCTGTGTTTGGTTCCTAGTCTGTGGCGTTATTTGGAGATGGTAGAAACTTTAGGGAGCGGGGCCTAGTGATAGGATGTTGTCACCAGGATCCTGCCTGTCTGTTCTTCCTGGTGCACACTGTCCTCTAACGCACATTCAGTCATCACCGGCTGGTTCACTACAGGATCCAAGTCAGTAGAGCCAAAAGGATGGAAAATCCTGAAAGTTTAAGGCAAAATAAACCTTTGCTTCCCTAAAAGTGGGTGACTTGCGTTCTTTGGTCAACGTAATGACAAATGAACACAGTCGATGAATGTCCCCTTACTCTTCAACAAATCATTCGGCTTTTGCAGATTTCAGTTTCCCTCTCTGAAAACTGAAGGGGAGTCTATGAAGAAATCTCCTACTTCCCCATGGAGCCTGGAGGCAACAGGGAAGCTGGTCTCACTTCCTTAACAAGGGCCTAATGGCCTATGAGCTACGTGGCCAAAAAAAGTCTTGTGAGATATTCACACTAATGAGACGTTGCAAAGAATTCTGGGAACACCTTTCTCTTCTTCACAGAATTCCTAGAAATAGAACTTTTGCCTTGCTCTTTTTGAGTCTTAAATATTCCTGCAGCTATTCCATTCCTGCTGCCTGGAGAGGAAGTTGGTGCAAAGCGCTGTTTAGAGCCAAGAGAATGGTTCTCTTCCTAATAGCTTAAAAGTCTAAATGAACGCTCTCTATTTGGCTAAATTAATGTGAGCAGGGTTTAATGTTACCTGCTATTAGAGCTACTTCAACTACATTAAAGAAGAGAAAACATGGAATAAATCCCCAAATTCGGTGCTTTTTGGATACTAAATGTGCTCTCTTAAAAATTATTTTTAAGAAATTACTACTCATAGGAGTAACATATATCTTGGTGTTTTTATTTGAAAGGCATACCATCAAGTTACTAACTTTGTTGATATCCCTGCTAAGTACCTATCCGATGTGTTGTTGAAATCTTCAGGGATAGGGACTTCACACCCTTTTGGGGTGACAGTGATAATTACAGCACCCAGCAGATCATGGTGTGGTCATTTGTGCCTGCTTTAGGATGACAGCACCTGGAAGTCTGAGAGGGAGCGGAACAATCAGGGAGGAGAAGGCATTGCTACTGGCTTATCATTTTACCCCTAGAGAATAGGTGGCATTGAGCCATTCAGTGGTTGGCCCTGGCTCCCAGCTGGCCCCTCTGCTCACAAGGTTAGCCGTCTTTGTCTGTTTTCTTCCACACAGTGCCTCAGGCAGTAGCATGACTCCGTGCAGACTGGAGACCCTGTCTAGGAACTTAGTTCCCTTCTACCTTGCTGCTATTTTCGTGCCTAACAATGTCTGTGTCCTTAGCTGCATTCCTTGTGAATGTGCCTCTGTACACCTCTACACTGCTCTGAGATTGAATAGCATGTATGCCCTGGCAATGCTGAAGCATGCATGGGCAACCCGTATATGGCGGTTCTGTTGAACTTATCCATACTGGGTTTTATGGTCTAAGTTGATGAGGACGACTGATCGGGTCTCTTCCTCTCTATCTTTCCCTACCCGATGCCAGTCATAAGGCCTCTTGATGTGCACCTAGTTCCTTCTGTAGGGAGGAAGGACTTACTTCCATAGCTATGAGGAGTGCTGCCCTTAAAAGGCCTTCCGCTGCCAGCCCCCCCCCAAAGCTATACTTGGATGGAGTCACCTCACCCAAGACCTTGTTCTAGGATAGCTTTTACCTGATGTCTGAACAGTATACACACACACACACACACACACACACACACACACACACACACACACTAAAATAAGAATCCAAGAAAAAATAATAGGGAAGAGAAGAATAATCCCACTGCACACTTTCTTCAACAGAATTGCAGAAGTTGAAAGTGACTCACCTCATCTGAAACTTGACCTCCAAATGTCACCCATGTTCCTGGAAGAGAATAAATATTTGTAGCCATTTTTATAATATTGTACACAATGAGAGGAAACTGTTATGTCAGAGCAGGTAGTTCATAAATGTGCCTAGATAAGGACATACACACACTCTAGCCTAGCCTTTGCCCCACTTCCTAATATTCCAGGAAGAGTCTGTGTCCCTTTGGGGAAGGGTGCCTCTTCAAGCCACCATGGATGCTTACGGTGCCCATCCCTGCCTTCCATGAAACGTTGCTTCTGCTCTAGGACCAGATGCACGAGAAGTCAGTGTTACAGAGCTCACACTGGCTGCACGCCTGTTTTTCACTCTTCTACAGCTAGAAAGACCTATTCTGCAAGTGAGCACAAGAAAGCGTGGCAGCCGGAGTGAGCCAGGCCTTGACTTACACTTCTGGCCTTGTTTGTAGACTCTGGGATTTCTAGTTACATTTCCAGAGGATTTTTCAGACATTTTGCCAGGACCTGCAGATAAGAGCTGGGTGGTGACCCTTCATGTTCCTTCTCTGTGTGCACTGGTCTGGAAATTTCTGTGGGTTTGGGGTGAAGGTAGAGGCAGGAGCCAGGGCAAGGGTGAGGAAGGCAGAGGGAGGGGGCATAGCCAGCGGCAGCATGTGTGAAGCAAGATACTGAGCAGGAACACGCCATGCTGGGCTCCAGCAAGCCTCTTTAGTCGGTCCCTTCCTTAGCCACTTTTTTTCTTGAGTTGTAAGTCCATCAGACAGAGAAATGGCCTCATGTACCAAGGAAAGTGAGGTGAATGGCCCACTTCCCATTCTTAGTTCCTAATTAGCTGTGCATCTTGATAAAGGCTCTGACTGAGGCAAATACAAGACACGCCAGCAGAGAGTGCTCTACCTAGGCTGGAGGAGCAAGCACTCCTAAAGGACTACCTAGAGAAGGACACAGTGATGGAGTCTTGCAGGAGAAAGGGAATGGAGAAGAAGGGGGTAGGCGTTTCAACACGGACAGGATCTTGGCAAAACAAGAAGGTGGAGAATGTGAATGTGTTGATGAGCTGTGTCTGGACCAGCAGGCCACGGGGTGAAACATGAGTCAGTCAGAGGGAGACCTGGGCAAGAGTAGAAGAAGTTAGGGCGTGGGCGTGGTTAAAGCTTATAGGACTTGAAAGAAATGCTGCTGGAAACATATATATGGCAATACACACATATATAACATATATATATATTCTATACATATACATAGAATATATATACATATATTCTGTCGTTCACTGTAACTGTCATAGTTACCACCATGGCATACCTTCTTTGTAGTAGACTACAAAAATTTTCTTGAATCATTTGACAGACTCAGAGGGCAATTTTACCCATGTCTACAGCTGAGGAATCTCACATCAGCCAACACTAGGTGACACACCCAAGCTCCCACCAACATGCTTGGCTTTGAGAAGGTTGCCCCCTTCAGTGAACCACATTGCTGAATTCGACTATCTCTCAATTAGTGTGGCGTCCACAGACACATGATAATGTGCTATTTCCTTTGTCCTAAAACAAAGGGAGTGTGTAAATCACTTTATGTGTGCACTTTCTGTCTCCAGAGGTTGCAGATGGGCAGCCCACAGCGGACGCTCAGCTTGCAGGCTCGTTCTGCTTCACTACAACAGAGCTGACCAATTGGATTTCAGGAAATTTTGAATGAGTTGCTGACATTTAAAGACTTAGGAATTTTTTTCTGGAAAAGTTTGGATTTTCGGCAAACACTGACAACAAAGGGTCAATGTCCTTTCTAGGCAGGCATTCCCCAATCTGTGTGTGTGTGTGTGTGTGTGCACGCTTTTGTGAAAGACTGTGCCAGTTCGCGAACCTCCCCACCCCACTTCCTGGTATATTAACATTAAAAGAAAATGGCTACTGCTTTGTACCATATGCTAATTGCCATTTTTCTTACAGCAAAAATAAGAGGATGTGAACTTGTAATTAAAAAAAAAACGGAGTTAATTCTTTTAAGAAAAAAATAGACATAGATATCTTTTTCAAAGAATATTACAAACAAAGAATGCTAACAAAGAAGAATCCCACCCTAAGGAACCAAAATAAAATCAGTCATGACCTGTACACAGAAAAGATGGTCTTTGAAAAACTTCATGGTCTGAGGAAAACAGTCCACGTTTGGTTTGGAATGGGAATTAAATAAGTGAGATGCTGTGATTAAGCTCTGTATTAAGTGAAAATAATTGCCTGGGAGTTAAAACCTTTTCACAGACAAGATGTTTACAAAGAGTCCCTTTGAATATGGCAGAAAAGATGAGTCCAGAGAACAAACACATTTGAGAACGTTAGCTGATCTGGCTCAGCAGTCAGGCAGAGTCGAGAGGGCTCAGCACAAGTTAAACTGCCGGAGCCATTCTCTGTCACAGCAAATGAGAAAGCAGATCTGAGGGACAGCACACTGTTGACTATTTATTTGCGGCCTGGTGAGAACTTTAAATGACGAAAAGAAAAAATGTGTGTGTATGGGGGGAGGTCTCAGATCATTTAGAAACGTAATAATCTGGTCAAAGTCACTGTCGCTCGAGGTGGGTGGGGTTGCTGCTAGCCCTGTCAAGCTACAGACAGAGGATGGCACTATTTTGTTGGAACATTGTACCTGAGTCCCTTAATCTCCCCATTCATTAAAAATGGCTTTGGGCAAAGAGCTAAAATGGGACAAGCCACGGATTCAGTAATGAATCCCACAAATTAGCTGTTCTTCTGTGTCTTCAAGCAAAATCAGGTCAACGTTTGCTTAATGAATTTGCTAGCTGGCTTGGGCTGTGCTGTGAAAGCAGTTCTTTTGTTTGTTTTTTTAGTTGTTCACGTAGTCAGTGAGATTAGACCCATCTCTACTGAGTCCCGGAGACTTCCTGGAACCTGAGCTTCCTGCTGATCCTACAAATCAGCTGTGCCTGAATACTTCTCCACGGGGACAGTCCCAAGAACAGATGTTCCTTGACTGGTAAATCTAGCAAGTGTTGGCAATACCGTGAGCCAAACACATTTCACATACCTCATTTACCAAAGACCCTAGCCTAATGCTTAGACTCAGCTGTTCCCCGCATGGTGGTTGGCTGACCATGGGTTCACCCACCTGCTGCTGCCCAGTATCGTGACAGTATTTAACGCAAATTCTACCCCAGGGAAGGGTCGAAATTCACAGGCAAAGTGCGAAGGTTTGGGGTTTAGCTCAGTGGTGGAGTACTGAACTAGCCTGTACTAGGCCCTGGATTTCATCCCTAACACCACAGCAAAAATCAAAATATGGTTTCTACCAAATGTATATTGCTGTTACACCATCAATAAATGATAAAATGTAAGTCAAGATGCCATTAATTCAGAAACTACATTTGCCTAGATTATTTGCTCATCTCAGATGTGACAGATTTTGGGGAAGTCACTTACTGAGGAATGACAATCCGTTTCTAGATGAGAATTATAGCCTAAAATTCAACCTTCTAGATTGTGTTGTTCAAAACTGGATTGCCAAAAGGTCCATAATTTCAAGTTTAATGCAAATAAACTAGCATCATTTAGCTCACTTTTATTAGAATTGAAAACAAATAACAAAACCCAGAATTGTACATATGTCTCAGAGGAAGACAAGGCCATTTCACACTTGAAACTGACAGTGATTCCAGTCATGTTGGGATAACACTAGTTTTCGGAGCAGTTTCATTCCAAAAAGAAGCAGAAAAAAACCCAAAACATTCTTCCATGTCTCTTTTAAGAACTTAAGGTTGTATTTCACCACAGTGAAAGTCAGACAGCCTGAAGGGCACTTTCATTCAGAAGAACAGATGTTAGGCCAAGGTTGGGATGAATTATGATGGAAAATAGTCAATGGTAAATAATAATTTTCCTTCTATCTTGGCTAAGAATTATTACCATTAACAGCATATGTATCACATATGCTTATGCTATTGCCATAGTTTGAATATGGGGTGTGTGTGTGTGCCACCAAGGTTTCATATGTTGGGAATTTAGCTTGGTGCTCTTGGGAAGTGGTGAGGATTTAAGAGGTATAGCCTAGTTGGAGGTCAAAAGTTATTGAGGATAACCCCTCGGCAGCCTTCATGAGGGAGTGGTTACAAAAGGAGCAATTTCTGCCCTTTTATCCTCTCTGTTCTTGTCTGAGATGTAGTCACTTGCTTGTTCAGTCATGTACCCCTGTCACAATGGGCCAGCACCTACTGACCTCATAGAGGTCCAGTGATCTGCTCCTTTGTACCTCCCACCACCCCCACTACCACTTATCCTGGCCTTTGCACCTTCAAAACTTTAAGCTAAATAAGCAGCCCATGTCAGATATTTCATTATAGCAATGGTAAGCTCATAAAGCTACATATATACCCATAACTTCAAAATAAAATAGTATCTCCCGTTTCGGAAGTTAGCCATTGTTAATATTCATCTCACTTTGTTCAAGGGGACCACCTCCCTGAGCCTTGACACCCTCACCACGCTCCAAAGCCCTAGAATACAAGTGGCAACTTAGCAGATGGCTGGTCAATGTTGGTTAAGTTTAACCGAATTGCCTTTTGCCTATCAGTAATCTTCAAAGTAAGGGGGTAATTTCCTATCCAGTATAATCGCTTTGATTTCTTGAAGAAGGAATGATGCTCATTGGTAATTCATCAGTTCTTTTAGCTTCTAGGTGGTTGGGATGTGGTTCGACCAGTCATTCCCTTTACTAGAGAAGGGTGCTAGGACAGTCCCCACTTCGCAGCAGTGACTGGTGAGAAGGGGTGGTGTGGCAGATGCTGGAGGAAGAGATGTCACAGACCTTCTCGCTGGAGGGGGGCAGAGCAATAGCTGTGTAGTCAGGAGTCTCTGATCCTAGAATTTAACGCGCTACTATATCACCCTAGGTGGGCTAAGGTGGTTTTCTGTTTATCGTGATTCTCTTAATCAGATGGTGTAGAAAGAACTCTGCTCACTCATTAAGAGAAGTTCAAAGAATGAACTGAGTAAAGAACCCAGAAATCCTAGGCCTAGGAGG